GAACAGTTTGTCACGAGCTGTTTCTGATCCTAAACTGTAACCTGTTATTTCCCTAACAGATCCTGTAATCGTGAGTATTGTCTGTGAGTTCTGTGTGGCCACTGAAACAAATGATGAAGCCCAGCAGAGAATTAGAGAATGCTGTGGAGGGGGCAGTTGATGTGAGAAGTGGTAAAAGGATGGAGGCTGGAGGCACGTCTGACCCCCGCCTCATAGGAATCAGCCGTGGGTTGTTGATCTTGATCTTTCTCCCTCCTTGTGAAGCTAAAGGAGGCCAGCTGCTGTCACCATGCTGTTTTTACAGGCTGTTACTAGAACTGCATTGAGTCTACGTGTCCATTTGGGAAGAACTGACAACCTTGTGATAGTCCGTCTTTCTATGTGTGTGGACGACCTCTCTACGTATTTGTTGTTAGTTGCTTGTGATTCTGACTCAAGGCGACCCCGTGTTATGGAGCAGGACTGCTCAATAGGGTTTTCTTGGCTGTAATCGTAACAGGAACAGATTGCCAGGCCTCTTCTTCTGCAGCACCATTGGGTAGGGTCCATATATTATGTCTTAATACCCCTTATTAAAGTTCTGTAACTTGCCCCAAATGAGTCTTGCACATTTTACTAGATTTATCTCTAGAGACCTGAACGTTTCTGAAACTATTATAAATGGCAACTTCTTTCTTCCTAGTTGCCAGTGACAGTTGGGTATTAAATCTTACATCCAGCTACCTTGCTAAAGTTTTCTATCATTTCTAATAATTTGTCTATGGTCATGGTATCTTACCACTACTGTATGTTATCTACAATCTTGGTCCTTTCTCAACCATGTGCTTCTCATTTATTTTCTGAATCTTACTGTATTGGACACGTCTTTCTGTATGCTCTCAGGCCCTCAAGGACCCTATTTATCTCTACTCTATCAAAACTACCCTGAAATCTAAGTTTTCAGCCCTAATTGAACACCTGCCATCAGTTCAATAGTTCTAACTATCCAAGTTATTTTTGTCATCTTGCAGTACAGTGAACTGTTTAACATGGCCCTTGTAGCCACAGTCCTCCATTTTCCTATGTACTGTAAATCCTAGCCTCTAGGCCTGTTTAGGGTGGGATGGATCTTGGTCCTGCCTTGCTGGAGAGTGTGACTCCTTTCACCACCCTCAGTTTCCTTGGGGGTGTATATGTGAATATGCTGGCAAAGTCACCCTCTCTTGCTCCGGATCCTGCATTTGGTTCATCTTCATCTCATCCCTGGACTTGAGACAGCAGCCAGTCCTCTGACCTGCCAATATGGGTTTGCCAGCCCTGCAACCACATGAGTAAGGAGAATTCTCCAGACCTACACCTGACCACAGATTTAGGACTTACCAGACTCCTAACCTCCACCTTGTGAGCCATTTCCTCGGCAGTGTGTGAGTTCTGTGAGACATTACAGCAACTGATGGTGTAGTACCTAAGGCATCTGACTACTAACCAGAAGACTGGTGCTTCAAACCCCCCAACCACTCCTTGGAAAGAAAACTGGGTAACCTACAACCATAGAGATACCAACTCGAAAACCCAAGGAGGGGTCGCTATGAATCTGATTCAACTCGAGGGCAGTGAGTTTTGTTTAGTTTTGAAGATGGGAAGGAAAGTGCTAAGGGGAGGAGGAGGAGTTGGTATCAGAGATGGTGGAGTGGTACAGCACCTTGGAAAACTGGGACATTTGGGACATCTTTAATCTCTACCTCATAGGGACCAGCCTTGTGCTGATCCTTCTCAAAGAAATTATTCAAGCAACCCCCAGAGCCCCCCACCTAAAATATTACAATTCAGGCAGCGAAATCTTCATTTTTCCAGTTTCCTAGCCCAGAAGCACTTGGGCAACTTTTCTGGGTCTTACCTCTCCCTATCTTCCATTTTCCCTGCTAGATGCTATGTAAGCCCTGTCCCTCGCTAAGGTAATTACATGATCATTTAAAGGAAACCAGAAACTACCACTGCCCAACAAAAGACAACTGAATTAGACAATTAAGCCATGACGCGTCCAAATCTCACTTCCAAATCTCAGTTTCCCTCCAGTCATCCTACAGGTGCTTTCCTAATAAACCTGATCAACACCTCACCCTCTTAAACCTTTCAACTGACACCATCTGTTTTTATAGACTTAACAAGATCAACAAGGAACTGAGAGCTTGCCCAACACCATATTCCAAACTTCATCGCCCCACTCACACCTTCACTCTGCACTCCCAACACAACGGTCTTCTTTGAATTCCTTGAAAAGGTCTCTCAGGGCACAGGGTCTTTGCAACCTGCCATAGTCCCACAATGGATTACACAGAGTACTTTTTTTTTTTTCAATTGTGATTTGGGTGAAAGTTTACAGAGCAAATTCATTTCCCATACAGCAGTTCATACCCATTTTGTTTCATGACACTGACTGCAATTCCCCACAGTGTAACAGCTCTCTTCTCACTTCCTCCCTGTGGCTATGTGTTCCCTGTGTCCTTCTTTCGCATGCATTCCTGCCCTCTGAGTTATCGCTCTATGCAAACACTGCCCTTCTGATCTCCTGTGACTGATTGTTCTAAGGACTATACCTATCTGGTGCAAATGTTCACCCTATGTTGTTGTTGTTGTTATGTGCCGTTGAGTCGGCCCCGACTCATAGCGACCCTTCCTTGGGTTTCCAAGGCAGTATCACTACGGAAGTAGGATTGCCCAACCTTCCTTCCAAGGAGTGGCTGGTGGGTTTGAACCGCCAGCCGTCTGGTTAGCAGGCAAGTGTCTTAGCCACTATGCTACCAGAGCTCCCGTTCACCCTATATGCCTGTCTATTGTTTGGCTGGAAGCCACAAGAGTGACTTCAATTCCAGGCCTTGAAGGGGTGACTCGGGGCCATAGTCATGGGGGAGTATAATTTACTTTTTAAATTTTTAGGCATTAGCATGGTCTATCTTTTCTAACCAATATGGAGCATAATCAAAAAAAGTTTGGTGATCACTGCTTTATTCGGCCGTTGTGTGTCATCGAACTCATAGCCACCCTACAGAACAGAGCAGAACTGCCCCAAAGAGTTTCCAAGGCTGTAATCTTCCCGGGAGATCTCCAGGTCTTTTCTCCGCAGCTCGGCTGATGGGTTCAAATCATTGACCTTTTGGTTGGCAACCCAGCACTTAACCATTGCACCACGAGAGCTCCTCTAATTCTACCACTATATGAAGAGTTACTACAGTAATTGCCAGTTGTTGGAACAATAGAAATTGTTCAATTCTATTCTATTGTTCTAGTTCTGGCCTTGCTGCACATGATTTCTACTACCTTTTATGGGTTTATAATCAAATCTTTTACTAATCAGTCTGTTGTTGTTGTTATGTGTCCTCGAGTCAGACCCGACTCATAGTGACCCCTCCTTGGGTTTCCGAGGCAGTATCGCTACGGAAGTAGAATGCCCAACCTTCCTTCTGAGGAGTGGCTGGGGGGTTTGAACCGCCAGCCTTCTGGTTAGCAGTCAAGTGCCTTAGGCACTACGCCACCAGAGCTCCTCATCATTCTAGTTACCATCATTTCCAAGTTCATCTTTCTAACAGAGATATGATTCACCAAAGTTAAACGTAGTAATTCACCAAAGTTAAACGAAGTAAGTCTCTTGTTTAACAACTAAATAACCCCAGAGGGGTGCACCATTCCTGGAGGTACTGCAATACCAGGCTGATGCAGGGGGTAGATAGAACAAGTTCCAATTCATTTTTTCCTTGTTTCAAAAATCACTTTAATCCACTGTCCTCGTTAGAAGGCATCTGACATTAGTTGACAAGAACAGACATTACACATGCTGTTAGTGAAAAGGCCGAGAAGTGATACTACCTGTACGAACTCTCAGTCCTTCCCACCCCAAACCTTCCTCACTCGGTTCAAAAGTGTAACCCTATTGTTACACTTTCCCACTCCTCATCTCCCCAAAGAGTAGAATAATCCCTTTCTGGGAGACCTCTCGAATGTGGCACTTCTTCACAAACCAGGAAATTAAGAAAGAAGAAATTGGACATTTTCCTCCACAGACGTTTATGGCCTGTTTCCTCCAGGTTCCAGTAAAATACCGGCCATTCCTATCCCTCCTCCTCAAGCGAAGCAGTACCTCCTGCTGCCAGATGGGGTCAGGGTTGCTCCACGATCGCACTCCGCAGCCCTAAGTGTGAGCTCTTCCACAGGACAATGAATTGGGAAAAGGTCACTAGAAAATGTAGATAAAACTAATAAATATAGACGGTAGTGTGGATGTTCCTGGTTGTCGCCAACAGTTAAGGTTAAGCAACCTAATGGTTGGTGGTTCGAACCCAGCCAGAGGCACCGGCGATCTGCTTCCATAAAGATTTCCAGTCAAGAAAAACTCTGTGCGGCCGTTCTACTCTGGAACGCATGGGTCGCCATGAGTCGAAATCGACTCAACAGCATCGAACAACATGACTGTTCCTGGATCTCACAAGCAGTAAAACTAAACTAAAGGTTGGCAGTTCGAACACACCCAGATGCGCCTGGCGATAGGCTTCCGAAAGATCACAGCCTGGAAACCTACGGGGTATTTCTACCCTCCACAGATGGGGTCACTAGGAGTCAGAGGATCCTGGAGGGTAATCGGTTGGTTTTTGGTTTGGGGGCTTTTTTTTAAATAAATCTGTGAGTCCGACTTTCTGTCCTGTGTTGTTAGATATCAGGGATCCGAAGAGGATTTACACAAACGTGAGAGCGGGCCTCCGGGCCGTTATTGTGGATGGGGAAAGAGGGAGTGAGTGGTGCTAAGGCAACTCGGGAAGCAGGCGTCTTCCTTACATGGAAGTTACCTCATCTATAAAATGGGGTAGTAATCATTGCCACAAGATTCTGAGGAACTAAACTAATTCATCCACATAGTGTGCTTAAAACCGCACCAGACACCAAGACACTGGTAAATAACGCGGAAATCAGACGCTGTCCAATTCACTTTCCCGAAACGGCCTCCACTCGCGCCCAGTCCCGCCCAGTACCTGAGTCGCCCCCTGCGCTGGGATACTGGTCAGGGGGCCCGGAATGCGCGCCGGGAGGCGGGCGTGGAGCCGCGACGACGCCGGCTGAGGGCTCAGGAAGTGCGGGATCCATGAAGGCGAGCTATCCACAAGGGTCCAAGAGTGTGTGGAGAAAAGGGGCCTCAGGACAGAGTGCGGGAGGCAGGTGGCTGCGACGCGGGAGAAGATTGGACACCTGACCCAAACAGCCTCAGCGTTCCAAGAATACCAGGAGTGGGCGTCGGCGGACCATGCCGCAATGCGCAGCTCCGCCCTCCCCTAGAACGCATGCGCGTGTTTTTCCCGCCCCAATTTTGGGACTAGCGCGCTGCGAGCCCGCCCTCCTACACATTCTCTACCCACAATTCCCAGGGTTCACCGGCCCGTCCTAGTTCACATGCGCATTTCATAATCCCGCCCCAAATCCCGTGAGCCTCTGCGAGGCACTATTTAAGCGTCTTGCCAACCACCTTCGGCCTCATTTTTTGC